TTTGGCGGCCCAGGCTGGATTCGAACCCGCCACCTTAGGTGTATGTGGCTGGCGCCTTAGCCACTTGAGCCACAGGCGCCGAGCCAAGAGATTCTTCATTTCTAACAAGTCCCCAGGTGATGCCAATGCTGCCACCCCTTCCTCCTCTGAGTAGGAAAGTGGTAAGATAGGAGAACAGGGTGTCAGAAATTGCACACTTGTGGAGATTGGCCAAAAATAAGTATGAAAAGCTAGCAGAGGTCCGCTCATGGTTAGGTTTGGATTTTGTTCTGGAGGTAATAGGGAGCTAAGGAAGTTTCTATCAAGGAATGCCTGATCAGATTTGTCAGAGGATCACTTTGGCAGCAGCATGAGGAGGCCAGGATGGGAGTAGGGAGACTAATTAGGAATTTGTGGAAAGGTGAGGACAGCCTTATATTTAAGGCAGTTGAGTAAGAATGATGAAATAGATTAGTTTTTAAGGGGGGGATCAGTTGGACACCACCAATTGGATATATGAAGTAAGTAGAGAGAGACAAAGGTAAGTTGACAAATCAGTCAAGCTCAGGGAACTGGTCGTCCAGAGCGTTTCAGTTTTCCAGCACCCCTTTCTTCCCCTATGCACTCACATCTTCTCTGACAGTTCTTCATCCTCAGGAAAGGTCAAGTTCCGCTTAGCGATGAGAGCTTCAGTAATGCAGAAACTCCCTTTCTCTGGACTCTGGACAAGCTTGGCTGTGAAAAGATGAGTCCAATTGTCACATTTCCTCATTCGTGGAAGCCTTACCCCACTGTTTTCCAACTGTTCTACCCACCATTCCACCTTCCTACTCACTTTCAGGCATAATCTAAAATAAAAGGCAGCTCGTCTGAGGCGGGAAAGGAAAGAAGAGATGCCTAGTAGTTTTGGCAGCCCCTAGGGATGGCAGAACCCAGGATGGCAGGAGGAGAAAGAAGCTCAGAGACTTGGGAGACACGGGACAGGGGGTTAGAGCAAATTGTTGGAATGAGATCGAAGACAAAAGTAAACTGGGGTGAAGGGTCTGAAGTTTGAGGGGTATGGAGAGGTTTTGAGGGCAGCAAACTGGATTGTGGGCAGGAGCTGTGAAAAAGGAGCCGTTCCTAGCAGCTCCGCGTGGTTGCTAGGAGACCAGACGCCAGGTGGGGGCGAGGAACAGGTGAATGCCAGTGGGCGGGCACAGCGCAGGCGGATTACTGCACCAGCCCACTATTTCCGGCTCCGGCTCTTCCTGCCCCACAATCCTTAGCTCTTTCCGTTTCCGCTTGGCTCACGTCTGCCCTTCCGGTGGAGATGGCTACGGCCGTGGCGGGGCATCTGCGAGGGGGTCTCCTGCCCCAAGCGGGTAAGGAGTGGCCTAAGTGCTCGCGGCGGGTCGGGCCTGCACCTTCTTGTCCTCATCTCTTCTCCTGTAATCTGTGACCCCAGACCGCTCCCCGTGGCCGCTGACCCTTGCTAGATGGGTGGCCTTATCCTACCCATTTCCTTGTGACTCCAGAGTCTGGTAACCACAGCAACGTGTTCAGCTCTCGTCCGCCTCCCGATTTTCTTTTGCATGGACCACTCCCAGCCTACTCCTTTGCTTTATGCCTCCATCTTAAAAATCTCAGCCTAATTGCAAGTTGTGGCTCAATGCCTGTAATCCCAGCTCTTGGAGAGGCCGAGGCGGGAGGATCGCCTGAGGCCAGGAGTTTGAGACCAGGGCGACATAGTGAGACTTGATCTCCAAAAACAACCATACAGGGTCTCAGGCTAAATGTCATTCCCTCAGGATTTTCCTCGCCACCCTCTGCAAATCAAGTTTCTTCAGTTAATGTTATATCGTGCATGCTGTTTATTAACCCGTTAGCCCTATCACAAGCTGAAATTTTGCATCCGTTTATTCGTTTGTTTCCTATTAAACTTTAAGGTCCATAAGGGCAGAATCACGTTCATTCAGTATAGCCAGCAGGTGGCATGATGCCTGATATTAGTACTCAAGCAGTAGGTATTTAATGAATGAATTTGAGTGTTTAGAATAGGCCAAGCATTGTGATACATGTTTTACATGTATTATCTCATTTAATGTTAAAGTATCCTATGAGAGAGGTGTTATCATCCTCTCTTTACCAGGCGATAAAACCTCTGTAGCAACCTCTACCTATGTGGTGATAAAACCTCTTACCCCAGCAAATCTCTATGCCCTCTGACTAGTTAGAGCCACCTCTGGCTGAACCTTTTCCTGAGGTCCCATTGCAGCCTTGGGAATGGCCAAAAATGGGAAACTTTAGTTTTGGCCCATGTGTTGAATGTGAAGGGGTCATTTGGCTCCGGCTTTTGAGTGTCTCCCTTGTTTTCTGAGGGATGCTTTACAGCATTTCTTTTTTTTAATTT